ATATTTTCGCATTGATTTTTAGGGAGAGTGGAAGAGAGAGGGAAAGACAGAGAGAAACATCAATGTGAAAGAAACACATCAATCGGTTGCCTCCTGCAAGCACTCTGACCAGGGCCCAGGCTGGAGAGAAGCCTGCAACCAAGGCAAGTGCCCTTGACTGGAATCGAACCCAGGACAGTTTTGGTCCACAAGCCAACACACTATCCACTGAGCCAAACCGGCTTGGGCTTCTCAGGTGAGAATTTAAGAAAAAGAAAAAAATAATTTCCTGGCCAGTCCATTGTCTGTGTGGTCCTTGCACCTTCTCCCCATGCCTGCATGGGTTTTCTCCTGCAGACTCTGGTTCCCTCCCCCATTCCCAAGACATGCACATGAGAGAAACTGAGTATCTACATCGTCCAGTCTGAGTGAGTGTGTGTGTGTGGGTGTGTGAATGCGTCCTGATATGGAAGGGCATCCTGACCAGGATTCCTACCTCATCCCATGAGCTGCTGAGACTGGCTCCGGCCACCTGGGACCCTGAAGTGAAATAAATAGGTTGGAAAATAATTATCTTATTTGTTTTTATTAAATTTTCTTAAATGTATGTATAGCTCATATTTATATCAATGTTTAACATTAGAAGTGTTTTAGTTCTTTATTTAGAAGTTTAATGATGCTTTGTTTTGGTGACCAGAAATGTGCCTATAGGAACATTTAAAAATTTATTTCATTTTTATCATTTTAAAATTTTCAGTTACAGTTAACATATATAACTTACGAAGTGATGATCCCAAGAAATCGTGCCTATATACATGGTTAGTAGAATATCATTGACTATATTTCCTGTGCTGTATTTTACATCCCTATGACTATCCTGTAATAACATCTGTAATTTGTTCTTAATCTCTTCACCTTTTTTCACCCATCCCCCAAACCCACCTATGCCATAAGAACTTAACTCAATCGTTTAGATCAATTTAGCCTATGGTAAAATTGTTCTCAAAATAGGTATGTCTTTTCACTTAAAGTCACAGTTTCCAAGGACCTAGCTATGACAGTAAGTGAGGACTTACTGTAGAATCATGCATCTTGCTTGGGTTATATTTGTCTTTATACCAATGCAACCATAAAGTGTAGTTTTATTATTCTTTTGTGGCGGAAGAGGGCCATGAAGGTGAAGTGCATAGGACCCACCAACGTTGTAATGTAGCCCGGTGATCCCCGTGGATCCAAATTCAATATATGTTAAATGCATTTGAAATGGCAAAAGCAAACACAGTCTCAGTACAAAGGATTGTTTGAGTCCAGGTACTAGAGGGCATAGGCTGAAACGATACAAGTTGGTAATAGGCAAGTGTGATTATAATAGGAGACTGAGATTATGGAGTGTGTGAAGAACTGAGTAACAAGGTTTGGCTGAGACAATCCTCCTTATTAGTGAAGAAGAAATCAAGGAAACAGGAAGTTGGTTTTATCAGTTATCTATTGCCATATTAACAAACCACTCGAAACTTTGTGGCTTAACCACCATTTATCTGCTCATTGCTTGGTAAAGTGGACCAGTCTCAGCTGAGCAATTCCGTTCGTCTTGCTGGGGCATTGTCACAGGGCTGCGACCTTCCGGAAGGTTGACTGGGGCTGGGTAGTATGACCTCACATGTCTGGTAGGTGGTGGCCAGGGCACCTCAGTTCTTCCCCATTGGGCTCCTCATCTTCCAGTAGGCTAAGCTGGACTTCTTTACATGATGTTGGGAGTATTCTGAGAGGGCAAAGGGACAAGCTGCAAGGTCTCTTGAGGCCCAGACTCTGGTGACTCACACAGTATCATTTCTGCCACATGCTTTTAGTCAAAGCAAGCCATAAAGCCAGCCCAGATTCAAGGGGTTGACAAACAGACTTCGCTTCTTGCTAAGAAGAGCAGCAAAATCATTGCAAAGGGTCATGTGGGACAGGAGGAAGTGTAGTGGCTTTCGTTGCAAGCACAATAATTGGAAGAATTGTCTATGTGGAACTGAGTCATCAAAAATCTCCAAGAATTTGACAGAAGTGGGAGTGAAAAGAGTAACAAGCCAGGTGCTAAAATGTTTATATAAGGTGCCTGGGTTAGGTGTTTAAGAATGTTCGTGCTGCAGGTACAGATTACGTTATACTCCGTCCATCAGTTGGGGGAAGGGAGGATCTATCATTTACAGCCTGAGGGAGAAGTAGTAAGTGATACAGTCTGATGCCATCAACTTCCAAAGTTTTAACCATCTTTACTGTCTCATCAGTGAACGCCAATGAATTTCATTAATGAGAAAGAACTGGTCATTTTCCACAACTGCTTTGACACAGTCGCTCCCCAATTCAGAATCTGCCTTAAGGAAGGATCCCAAATCCTGGAGAAAACCACATGCATAAAACGTCCCCAGTCCCCAGACACAGTCCCCAGTGCCCAGGATGACTGACATCCAGCACAAAGTAGCAGTACACAGGTGCTCAGGAATATTTGTTGAATGAATGTATAATAGCAAAACCATAAACACAATTGTGTAAGGGTCCAATTGTGAGAATCCCACAATAAGGGCTAAGTTAAATAGATTGTGATATATCTACTAATGGACTATTATGCAGCCATAAAAATTGTGCTTTTGAGGACTATCAATACATTATGTGGAGTAAAAAAAAAGTCAGGATACAACATTACAGGTACTGAGTAAAAACATCTGGGTAGGAACAGGGTAAAAAAAAACAAAACCCACCCACATTAGTGGTTTTTTCATGGTAGTAGGATCATGGGTGATTTTTTTTTTTTACTTGATTCTAAAGGATCTATCGTGTTATTAAATTTCTTTTAAAATAATAAAGTTGCATACATTCATTGTGGAAAGAAAAAAAATGCAGAAAAGCATCATTAAGAAAAGATAATCTTTAATTCCATTATCCAGAACAAAAGTCACTGGTAATTGACAGGCGTTCTGTATTGTCTCTCCCTGCTCGCAGTTAACATACTCTTGGCTTTTTTTTTTTTTTTTTTTTTTTACATCTAGGCAAGTGTGATTATTAATATAATAGGAGATTGAGATTATGGAGTGTGCCCGCTAAGGGGCGGCCTCAAAAAGGCGACTTTTGATAGTCACATAACCTATTTAACCTACACTAATTGGACATTATCGGTTGTTTCCAATTTTTCACTGAAAAACAAATTAAAACAAAATAAAAGGCTAGAGCTATGGCATTAGATTAGAGCTTTCAGATTCAGAAAGCTCTTAGGGAAGAGGAAGCGGCTGGAGAGATGAGGTGGGTGTGGCTGTTACATCCAATGGAGACTGCAAGAAAAACTAGGCCAGCGGCTCCGTCCCTGTGGGGTGTCCGTGGGAAGCTTCTGCAGGGGCTGGAGAGTCCTCCCTCCAATCTGTGGCATTTAAAGATGGAGAAATCTTGATCTGGAGGCTTCGGTGGTGTTCTAGCCTCTGCCCTCTTGCGCTGCGCAGGCAAGAGAAGTGCTTCCTGTCCTCGCCTTGCACAGGTGTCTCCGAGCCCTGAGCCTGGACAATAGTCCCCCCTACTCTCCGCACCGAACTCGGTTAGTCAGAGCTCTGGGATTGGCCGATTGGCCTGAGCTCAAGAAGGGATGTGATCGGGGTACAGGAGAAGGAACTGGGGTGCGGAGGGTGGGGGTGGGGGGCACATCTACAGAGTCAGGGGCATTCCCTGGCCAGAGGGGCTTCCCATAGCGGCCGCGGGAAGGAACAGGGTGGCGGGGATAGAGATGGGGTGGGGGTAGGGCCGATCCTTAGACAGGCGCGGCTGATCCTAGAAGGCTGTACTCGGCGGCGCGGAGAGAGAGAAGCGGAGGAGAGGAGCAGCCATTTGAAGCGAAGCAGGTGATGGAGGATTTCCTCACGGCGGAGGCGTGGGCTGGGTGACAGGAGGAGGGCGGGGGCGGCGCCGCCTGGAGCGCGTGCGGGATCCACCGGAGAAGCAGGACTGGTGAGGACGGAGGTGGGGCGGGGGCGAGAGGCCAGGGCAGCCAAGCTGGGGTTCGAGATGGGAGAGTCACTGGGCGGCGCACATCTGGCCGGCACTTTGCATGTAGATTCCCAAGATTTCCTCCCTCCGATGGAGAAAGCGAGGCTCGGATAGGTTGGGTGGCGGTGGAGGGTGGGGGCCCGGGGAAGAGAGCGGCGGCAGGGAACCGGGCGAGCGCCGCGCTCCGGGAGGAGGCGTGAGCCGGGCGCCGCAGGGGGTGGCGGCGGGCCCGGAGGATCGGGGCGGGCCGCCGGCGGGCCGAGGAGGGCGCGGGAGGAGGGATCGGCCGGCACACGCCGCCCCTGGCAGGCGGCCCGAGCGCGCACGAGGAGCTGCCGCCGCCGCCGCTCGCGATCGCCTGGAGCCCCAGATTCCGGAGCGCTCGGCTCGCATGGCAGCCGCCTCGGCGCCCTGCCCCGAGGCCCGCTAGGGGCGGCCCCGCGGCGGAGCCCGTCGGACCCGGCCTCGCGTGGCTCCCGGAGCACCGCCTCGCAGCCCGAGGTGAGGACCGCGAAGGCGGGGCGCTCCGGACCGGGGCGCTCGGGGGCTCCGGGCCGGGCGGCGCGGCCGAGCGGGCGCGGCTGAGATGGGAAGGGGGCCGGTCCTGGATGGAGCCGGGAGTGGGATCGGAGACCGCTCGCTGCTGGGAACCAGACCCCGCGTCCCCTGCACCAGGCCTCCCCTCGGCGCGATCCTCATCCCCACGGACCCCTCCGTTCTGGGCGTCCCCAGCCCTGACCCCTCCATGCCGCCTCTCCTTTGCCTCTTCCCATAGAGCCTGGTTCTGGGCCTTTTCACCCCCCTCCTCGTCGGTTCCACCCTTCCCCGCCCCTGCCTTCACCCCTTCTTCTGTCCGGACGCCCCGCTCCCCCTCGGCGCCTGTCGCTAAGAACCGCAATCCGTGCCGCCTCTCTCCGCATCCGACCGCCTCCCAGCCTGCGTCGTCCCACAGGTGTCCGCACGTGCGGCCGTCCACCCGTCCGCCCTCCCCGGGGCCGGCGCTGACCATGCCCAGCGGCTGCCACTGCCTGCATCTCATGTGCCTGCTGTGCGTCCTGGGGGCCCCGGCTCTGCACGCCGTAGGTGAGCGCACCCCGGACGCAGGTCGCGGCCCTCTGCCTCCCCACGTCCCCCGCTTGCACGTTGACCTCTGCCGGCCGAAGATGGCACTGCAGCCGCTCGGACCCGCGGGGTTGGTGAGACCCAAGTCATCCCTTGGAGTGTCTGTCTGTTGGGGACTCTGCCCCAGAGCTGAGCCCACCCAATTGCTGGGGCCCCGCACCCTCCCGAACCCAAACCCCTCCCACATCAATCAATCTCTTGCAGCCGATGACTGCAGCTCCCACTGTGACCTGGCCCACGGCTGCTGTGATCCTGACGGCTCCTGCAGGTACCTCTCTGAGCACGTGCTCCTAAACCCTTCGCTCCTCTTTTCCCAGCCCTTTCACACCCACAACAGGGCAGGGTGCCCAGGGCCTTAACACCCTACTGTTCCTTCCCACCCACCCCCACTCCACAGGGCACACAGGGCAGATCAGCCAGCCCCCTTTGCCTTGACTCTTCCTTCCTCCAGCTTATGCTCCCCACTGTTTTACTCACCCAAATCCGACCCAAGAATTCTGAAACATTCCTCCTCAAGACCAGGAGAAAGGCCTGGAACTTGAGAGAGTTTGGAGATTGGGAGCCTGGAGGAAAGGGAGAGATAGGAAAGGCATAAAGGGAATTGGTTTGGCCTATAAGAGAAAGGCTGCTGAAGGATTGCTGGGAATTTGACCTTATGAAAGAGTATCTTAAAAAAAAAAAAAAAAAAAAAAAAATATATATATATATATATATATATATATATATATATATATATATATATATATATATATATATTGATTTCAGAGAGAAAGGGAGCGAGAAAGAGAGATAGAAACACCAATGATGAGAGAGAATCATTGATTAGCTGCCTCCTGCATGTCCACACTGGGGATGGAGCCCACAACCCAGGCATGTGCCCTTAACTGGAATCGAACCTGGGACCCTTCAGTCCACAGGCCGATGCTCTATCCACTGAGCCAAACCAACTAGGGCAAAAGTATCTTTCTTGATGAATTTGAGTAATTGACTCACTGGGGTGAGGGTGGGGCAAATTCAATAGCAGGAGGGAAATGTGTCTGGATAGACATAAGGAAATGACCTGTCAGGGCAAGTTGCTGGAGGGGCTAGGGGTGTTCTGGACTCAAGGACGGAGGGCTTTTTAAAAAATAGGTCAGGCCCTGGCGGGGTGCTCAATGGTTAGAGTGCAGGCCTGCTGGAGAGTCATGGGTTCAGTTCCTAGTCAAGGGCACATACCTGGGTTGCAGGTTTGATCCCTGGCCCCCTTCAGATCCTGTGTGGGAGGAAACCAATCGATGTGTCTAAGTCACTTCAATGTTTCTCTCTTCCCCTCTCCCCTTCCTTCCACATTCCGTAAAAGTCAATGAAAAAAATATCTTCATTTCTTGGGTGAGGATTAAAAAAACACACAGGTCAGGCTTTTGCCCTGGAATCAAGGGCACTCTAAAAAAAACAACTCGCATTTCTGAGTCTCAGATATGCCAGGACTGATCCTGGGAGTATTTATAATCATCTTAGTTCCTTCCTTGACACATCCCCGGAAAGTGCATTCCCAATTTACAGATGAGGAAACTAAGGCTCACAAGGATTAGACAAAGCGCAGAACCACTTGAGTGCTGGTGTCAGATGATCTGATTCCACAGACATGACCCTACACAGCCCACACCTATCCGGATGGGCCTGCTTCCCCTGGGGACTGTCATGTCTTCTTGTTTTCGAAATGCTCTGGTCTTGCTTCCACTTCCTCCCCCCCTCCCCTCCTCCTCCCACCTCGCCCAGAGCCCTGACCCTGTGCTTCTCCCCATCAGGTGTGACCCAGGCTGGGAGGGGCTGCACTGTGAGCGCTGTGTGAGGATGCCTGGCTGCCAGCATGGTTCCTGCCACCAGCCCTGGCAGTGCATCTGCCATGGTGGCTGGGCGGGCAAGTTCTGTGACAAAGGTAGGGGAGCAGAGAGGGCGGCTGTTGGTCTGGAGACCCCAGGTGCCTTGGGAAAACATCCACTATTTATTGTGTCCAGCCCTCAAACTCAAATACACAGCAGCTCATCATTTTAGCCTCCATACCTATGTGTCGCCTCAATGGGCCCTTACCCTAACCGCATGAGACGGGCAAGGCGGCTGCGGAAACGGTCCTCATTGTACAGCTGAGGACACTGAGGCTCAGAGATGAGCTATTATACAACTTACTTGAAGTTACTGATACGGATGGACATTGCCAGGGGCAGGAGCCTCCTGATTCCGAGTTCAGTGTTGTTGTTTCCCCCACCAAACATACCAGCCTGGGTGGGTCTGCAGTATGAGCTGCACCCACTGAGCCTTAGGGAGGGTTCTGGCCAGGTCTGGGTGCCAGATGTAAGGGGCTCTCCCAGAACCTTCCGTCTCCTCTATAGATGAGCACATCTGTACCACCCAGTCCCCCTGCCGGAACGGAGGCCAGTGCGTCTATGATGGGGGCGGCGAGTACCACTGTGTGTGCCCACCAGGCTTCCACGGACGGGACTGTGAGCGCAAGACTGGACCCTGTGAGCAGGCTGGGTGAGTATGGCCTCATGGGATCAGTTCAAGGTTAGGTGGGAATCTGTTGACAGAAGGAGGCAAGACTGTTGAGAGGCTGGCAGTGAAGTAACAGGGCTGAGGGTCAGAAACCCCACTGAGGGCACTGGAGGATAAAACCCCAGCTTGCCAGTGTCCCTAGTTCCGGGTTTCTCAGCTCTTTTATACCATCTGGACCATTTCAACAAAAATCTATAGGAACTGGAGATGTAACAGATCAATGTGTGATTGCTCTGGCTGTTGGGGGGGAGAGGGTGTGAGGACCTAGGACTCCCCTCCTCCTCCCATGAAAGCTACCCCTGAGTCCCCTAAGGATGTCCCCCACACACAGCCTTCCGCCTCAGTGTGTGCATAGGGAAAAGGGCCTGTAGGGTGGGGCCTGCCCTCTTTTCTGTGTGGGGCCTAAGAGCCTACCAAGGTTATAATACACTTGCCTTCAGCCTTGCCTTTGGGCCATGCTAACTGCTTGACATTGGGTTATCTCGTTTAACCCTCACAATGTGGAAGCCCAATGCTACTTCCATTCCATTTTAAAAGGAGATATTGGAGGCTCGGAATGTGATTCAAGGTGACATTGCTGGAAGGGGGGTGGGCAGTGGGTCAGTGGTCAGCTGACCTAGGCTGCCCTGCAGGTGTGAGTCTGTATCAAAGCCCTCTCCCACCTCCACCCCAGCTCCCCGTGCCAGAATGGCGGCCAGTGCCAGGACGACCAGGGCTTTGCCCTCAACTTCACGTGCCGCTGCTTGGCAGGCTTTGTGGGTGCCTACTGTGAGGTGAACGTGGACGACTGTCTGATGAGGCCTTGTGCTAACGGCGCCACCTGTCTGGATGGCATAAACCGCTTCTTCTGCCTCTGCCCGGAGGGCTTTGCTGGACGCTTTTGCACCATCAACCTGGATGACTGTGCCAGCCGCCCATGCCAGAGAGGGGCCCGCTGCCGGGACCGGGTCCACGACTTCGACTGTCTCTGTCCTAGTGGCTATGGCGGCAAGACTTGTGAGCTCGTCTTACCTGGCCCAGACCCTGCCACCATGGCAGACGTGCCCCTGGGGCCCACCTCGGCGCTGGTGGTGCCTGCCACGGGGCCTGCCCCCCACAGCGCAGGGGCTGGCCTGCTGCGCATCTCAGTGAAGGAGGTAGTGCGTAGGCAAGAGGCCAGGCTAGGTGAGTCGAGCCTGGTGGCCGTGGTGGTGTTCGGGGCCCTCACTGCCACCCTGGTCCTGTCCACAGTGTTGCTGACCCTGAGGGCCTGGCGCCGGGGGGCCTGTCCCCCTGGACCCTGTTGCTCCTCGGCACCACACTACGCCCCAGCACGCCAGGACCAAGAATGTCAGGTCAGCATGCTGCCTGCGGGGCTCCCCCTGCCACCTGACCTGCCCCCTGAGCCTGGAAAGACCACGGCACTGTGACGGGGGTGGGGCTCCGTGCCGCCTCCACCTCCTCTGCCTTTCAGACTGGAACAGTCCTCACTTGCCACCCCTCAGCAGCTTCACACAAGAAATATTATTTTTTTAATACTCAGAATGTAAGATGGGAATCTTATTCAATAAAACTATGACGTTGTAAGTGGACTCCTTTTCCAGAAAAAAAACTGCCTGGCATCACTGAAGAGGGCTGAGCAGAAGCCTGTTTCTGGGGAAACCTTGGAACTTTGCCTTAAGCCTGGTTCTCAGAGAGGAACCCATGACACCTCCCCCCGCCCCAGGGAAGTGCCAGTGAGGTAGAGCCATGGAGGCGAATGTAAACGAACAGCTCTGCAGCCACCCAGCAGAGGGTAAGATAGGGGTGACCCAGGGGGGGCCTTAGGGGGAGGAGTGGGCTCCCTGCTGGCTGCTCTGCAGCAGTTGCTGGAACAGGGAGTGAGGCTGGTTGCGCAGGGCAGCAGGGGAGTCCAGCTCCACGACCCTCCCAGCTTGCAGCACCAGCACCCGGTCAGAGTTCATGATGGTGTTGAGCCTGTGGGAGAGAAGGTGGTCAGTGGAGGATGGAGGACAGCACCCTAGAGCAGCGGTCGCCAACCGGTGTCCGTGAACTGAAAGGTTGGCGACTGCTGCCCTGAAGCAGGAAGCTGACCCACGTCCCTCCTCTCCTTCCCTAGACAGCACAGTCCTGCCCCCACGCTTTACCCCGGCTCTGTGCTGGGGGCTACCGATGCCTTCAGACAATGTGCAATGAAAATGAGGAGCTGAGGTTCATGGAAGTTTGGAATCTCTAGGGCTCTGACCCCCGGGTCCCTGACACTATATCCCCTGATTGGAATCTCACGCCGGATGCTTGCACACCTGTGGGCAATGGTTAGCACTGTCTTGTTGGCGAAGCGTTTGCAGATGGTCTGCTGGAGCAGCTGGTCTGTTTTCTGGTCCACACTTGCCGTGGCCTCATCAATGCACAGGATCTGGAACATGTGGAGGGGGTGGGCAGGAGGACAGAGAAGAGGGTTCGTCTTGGCTTCTGCCCAAGCACTGGCATCTACCTCCTGGTGGGGCCCCACACGGCCCAGCCCAGCCCGCAGATCCCCACCTCCAGCTCTAAAAGAAAAACTAACCTGGTCCTCTGAGACTTCTCCCTGCTTACTCCCCACCCCTCACATGCCCCTGCCTTCTTCCCGGCCCTCTCGGATGTCTCCTCTCACCTTACCTTGGCATCTGTGAGGAGAGCCCTGGCCAGACACAGCAGCTGCCTCTGCCCCAGTGATAAGCTCCGGCCCCCCTCGCCCAGCTCACCATCCAGACCACCTACAAGGCACAGCATCGTCACCCCTGGGTCCTAGGTCTCTCTCTGCCCCCTCCCTGCTCCGTCCTCCTCCACCCTGCAGGGTAGGGCATGGTACTCACCCATGGACACGATCACCTCACTCAGGTGGCACTGCTCCAGAGCCTGCCACAGGGCCCTGTCCTCATGCAGGCCCCGGGGGTCCAGGTTCTCCCGAACACTCCCACTGAACAGAAAGGGCTCCTGGGGGATGATAGCCAGCTGGGACCTGGGCGACAGAGGAACATGGGTCTAGGCTGGAGGTGTGGTCACTTCTGCGCCCAGCACAGGTTTCAGCTATAGGTCTAGCACCTCCAGAGAAGCCTAGGGAAGAGCCCTGAACATAACCCTCACTCAGCTCCCCTGCTGTTCAGCGTGTTCCCAGAACTGGACAGGTGCCATGAGGGATACGAGAGAAACCAAAGGCCCACGCTCTGCCCTTAAGGAGCTTACATCTCACTAAGCTACAAAACAGAGCAGGAGACTTCATCAGGCACTGGGACAGCCGTGGTGGCAGGGAATGAGCAGAGAGTTTGAATAGTAGGGAGGGGATGCGTCAAGATGGGAGGGCCTAGGATTGGGTCCTGAGGAGCCATATGTGGAGCTAGAAGAGAAGGCAGGAAAGGCAGGGCCAGGGCCTGGGACCAATAATAGGCTTTGGAACAGAGCTCCCTGCCTTTTCCACATCAGAGAAAATGACACTAGGCTAACCTGGGCTGGTGGGGGGAGTTGTTTAGCACCAGATGTGGCCTCTTGTTGCCAGGGGCAACCGGCCCAGGTCTCGAGTGCCCTGAGCATCACCCGCCAAGCCTGAGGGCTGAGAGGATGAGTATCTTGGGCACAGCACTGGAAGGCTCTGATTCAGGACGCAGTGACCATTGATCTAGACTGCAAGGTGCATACTGGGAAGTACAAGAAAAAATGAAGCTGGAAAGGTGGGCCTGGGTCAGATTAAAGACCTGACCCCACAGCTACATCCCTGCACCTGAGGAGAGCGAGCCCTGGGAGCTCGCCATCCTTGCCGGCTGTCCCAGCTGCCTTCCCGAATCGACCCTGCTGCCCTGCTGCCCTGAGTCTACGGAAACCTTTCGGCTAGGCTTCCTCTCTGTGCCAGTAGTCTGGTTCTCCTCTTCTCGCTCCCCCAGACCTGAGCTCGGCCAGCGCCAGCTGGCGGGTGTCCACTCCGTCCAGGAGCACGCGCCCCGAGCTGGGCTCCAGCAGCCGGAAGAGCACGGACAGCAGGGACGACTTTCCGGAGCCCGTGCGGCCCACGATGCCCAGCTTCTCTCCGGGCTGCACGCGGAAGGTCACCCCGTCCAGGGCATTTGGCAGCCCCGGCCGGTACACCAACACCACGTCCTGGAACTCCACGCTCCCCTGCGTCAGCCAGCCAGTGCCTAGCTGGTGGGGTTCGTGGGTGGGAGCGGGAGGGAGATGGGTGAGACGGGGAGACGTGGGGAGAAGGGGGGTTGGAGAGTGGAAGGATGAGAAATAGATGGCGTGAGAGGAAAGGGGGAAATAAGGACAAGTGAAGGAGATGGGAGAACAGACACAAAGATGAGGGACGCAGTGAAGAAAGGGGAGATCATGCGGGGACATTAGAGGAGCTGAGAAAGATGGCGAGGAGTGGAAAGGAACCTGGGGAATGACTGGGGCGGTCGGGAGGGTCCTTCCCGGTTCCAGCGCCCAGGCCCGGGGCACAGGTGCGGGCCTACCTGCCTCGGCTGGCCCTGGGACTCCTGGGGCAGGTCGCAGGAGTACTCCTCCAGCCGCTCGACGCTCACCAGCATGGTTTCTGTCTGCGTGAAGCTGCTCACCAGGCCCGAGAGCAGCCCCGTCAGGGACAGCGCATATGACAGAGACAGGCCCACCAGCCCTGGCAGGAGAGGAACACCAGGCACCAGGGGAGGCTTGGTGAGGAGGACTGAGGCCGAACAGGAGAATCTGCAGACTGTGGGCATTGAACGGAGGCCGCAGAGAAGCAGGAAGGTGCCAGTAGCAGACCCAGGGCCACGGGACGCTAGATGCCAGGCAGTGGAGTGGGTCCACAGAGGCTCTGAGGGAGGATGGGTGGGCCTGGCAGAGGGCTGGGGATGGGGGGAGAGGACAGGGGCAGAGACCAGAAGACTAGTACCAGATGCAGCATCACCTGGGAAAGTCACTTCTTGAGACTCAGTGTCCTCAACTCTACAACGAGGGGCAGGAGAATTACGACACATACTCTCAGGGACCCTGCGCGGCAGGGGAGAACGCTGGGGGACGGCGCAGGGAGAGGTCTGGGGCAAGGCACGGGAATCGCATGCTTCTGAGGGGAGTAAAGGGGCCCGGGGTGGTACCTGGGTTGGCGAGGCCCTGCTGGTGCTGTACCAGGGCGATGCCTGCGATGGCGCTGACCACGGCGGCCCCCATGAGCTGGAGCCGAATGTCCAGCCACTGCATCGTGGCGCTGGAAGCGAACTGGCACCTCTGGTTTAGCTCCAGGAGCCTCTGGTTCTTCTCCTCGAACCTGGGGGAGGCCAGGGGGGAAGCAAGGCCACTCCGCTGCGGCAAGCACTTGCCCTGACTCCCCCACAGAACGCCTTCTTCTCGGAGCCGATCAGCACACCCACAGGCCTCACGCACGGAAAGGTCAGCGTGTTCTTTCACAGGCGGTCTGCTCTGCCACTCATGCCCTTTCTTCTGTTTCTTTCCTCTTCCCCTTAGTGCCTTCACCCACCCTTCCCTTCTCAGGAGACCCGAAGCCCCTCTCTCCCACGTGCCTTTCTTCGTCAGGGGGGTCCTCTGCCCCCTCCCCGCCAGCACCTCACACCCTCGCTCTGGTTGGGAGAGGCAGGCTCCACACACCTGCCAGTGGCCCCGCAGGCCCGGAGCACGGGGAGGCCGGCCAGGGTGTCGGCCAGGTGGGTGTAGAGCGGGGACAGGGTGAGGCTGCCCAGGCGCCGCAGCTCCCGCGAGGAAGCCCGGTAGTGGCGCTGCACGCGGTAGTAGATGAGGCTCAGAGGCGGCAGCAGCAGCAGCAGCCAGGGCAGGCCGGAGCCCAGCACCGCCAGGAGGCCCAGCAGGCCTGCCGCGTTGGCCAGGAGGATGTTGAGGATGAAGGGCAGGCTGTCGTCCACACAGGCCACATCGGAGGAGAAGCGGTTCAGGACCCGGCCCATAGGCGTGGCGTCGAAGAACGTGATGGGTGCCTGGGAGAAGGGATGTGGTTGGGCAAGGGCAGGGTCTGGCACAAACGGGGTGGGAGGCCACCCTGGAGGAAGTGGGGGGCAAAAGAAAGCAAAGTGTCTCCAGAGTTTGGGAGCGGAAAGGAGGAACAGGTGGGGCCAGGAGGAAGAATACCGCAGGTTAGAAAAGACAAAGACTGTCCCTCTGGCCAGTAGTGACCCTGAAAGGCCATGCTGGCCACTCTGCTACCTCTGTGCTACGTCCCTCTCCAGAACACGGGGACTTCCGGCCAGTGAGTGAGGGTCAGTTAGATGTCAGGAGGCACATCCTGATCGCCCAGGGCTGGACAGAGGGTGAGGGCAGTGGTTCAAGTCAGATCGTCTCATGGCCGCATTCAGGCTCTGGAGTCAGACTGCGGCTGGGATTCCAGCTCTGCCACTTAGTAGAGGTGAAACCCCTCAATCTCTTAAAGGCCCATGCTCCTCATTTCAAA